GAGAAAAATAAATCATATTTATTGATGCTTCTTTAACAGCAACTATAGAAATTTTCGTTGATAGAAAGATGTATATTTCTCTCAACCAAGAGATTAGACGCACAAGGATGTATTTTTCTTGTTGATAGTAACTAGACGGTGTTGTCGATCCATGTCTTTCATCAGCAACACGTTTCAATAATGCTACATGAAATTTTACTTTTATTAGGCCATTTAACACCCTCAAGATTTATACAGTTAATCGGCAAGCATTACTGTGCCAATATTGATGGCACGCTTCGATGATTCTTCTTCCTCCTCCTCCTGTTCTCTTTCCATTGTTCTAATATATATATATCTCCTATATATACGTGTACACCATGGGGACCACAATCCAGTGATCTCTGTGCCGGTCGCAAGTCCGGGAAAAAGAGGAGCGTCAGACGGAAGGAGTGCAGATAACGCCGTCTGTCAAAAAGAAAAGACGAAAGAAACCAACCATGAACGACGACGATAACCGAAAACCATATCGGCTCGGACGTAGCCCGGGTGGACAAGGTCCGCGTCCTCTATCGAGTAACCAGGACAGAATCGAAAAATTGACTACTGGAAAGACAAGAACAACAACAGCAGCAGTAACATCAAATGTCAAAATTGGTCAATAACAGTGGAAGATAACGAAAGGCACACTTACAATGGGTACCTGGAACGTTCAAACGCTATGGGCAACAGGAAAGCTAGAATTGCTAAGAAATTAAATGAAACGTTTCAGATTCGATGTCATCAAGAACTCTGAAGTACGCTGGACAGGAAAAGGAGAAGACACTACACACAACAAAGGTGTAGGAATGCTATTAAGTGCAAAAGCAAAAAAGACGCTAATAGGATACAATCCGATTAGTTCGCGAGTAATCATGGCTAGATTCAATGCAACACCATTCAAGCTCACAGTAATGCACGTGTATGCACCAACATCAGCATCATCAGATGATGAAATCGAAATATTCTATGATAGCATCGAGCATGCACTAACACAAACGCCTAAAAAGGATATAATAATCGTAACTGATGATTGGAATGTGAAAATTGGGAGTGATAATACACACTGGAAGTCAATGATGGGTAGATCGACTTCTAGAGTTTGCAGCAGTACACAATCTATACATTTGCAATACATGATTTCAACAGAAAGCAAATAAAAAATGAACATGGGCATCAGCAGATGGCATGCACAAGAATATGATTGACACCTAGTGCTGATCCAAAAAAGATGGAAATCATCAGCCATGAATTGTCGAATATTTCAAAGTGCAGATATCAGCTCAGACCATTCACTAGTGCTATGCAACATCAAGTTAAGAATGAAAAGACGATACATCAAACCGCAACAGCATCACAGACCTGATGTAAGTCAGCTCAAGATTCAGAAAGTGAGAGAAGTCTATCAAACTAGACTAGTCAGCAGACTCGAAGACATAGATGCACAGCGCAACCTAGAAGAACATGCAGCGAAGGTCGAGGAAGGAATCAAAGATGCATTACAAGCAGCTGTCACAACTACAAGGAGAGCCAAAAAACCGTGGATCTCAGAACAAACCCTCAACCTAGCCGACGAAAACGTAAGATGAAACAAATAAAGAACGTTTCAGTAGAGAACGACCAGCTATATAAAAACTTGTGCAACAAAGTAAAAAAATCGGCACGACAGGACAAAGATAACTGGATCTAAGATAAATGCGATGAAATTGAAAACGGACTAAAAATTGGAAATACTAGACAAGCCTAAAGCTTAATAAAGACGCTGAAAAAGAATTTTGTACCACGAATAACGACGATAAGAAATCAAGATGGTACAATGCAACAGTCAAAAGAGAGCGTGAAACAACGATGGACACAGTACTGCAGCGGGCTATATAAGGACGAAGGCGGAGGAGACGAGATGGTTAAGGAACTCGAAGGTATCTTGCGTTCATACAAAGACGATCCTCAAGATATTCTATATTCGGAGGTAGAAGAAGCAATTCGAACACTAAAATCCACTCACTATGTAACAAAACATGGCATGAGGGAGTAATACCAGAAGAATGGGGGAAATCAATCCTTATACCAATACCAAAGAACGGAGATCTCAGCGAATGTGCAAACTACCGAACAATCTCACTCATAAGCCATACAGGAAAAATCCTACTGACAGTACTATTGAACAGACTCAAACGCCATCTGGATCCATACTTATCGGAAGAACAAGCAGGATTCAGACAGGACAGAAGTACTGGGTGTGGGGTGTGGGTGTGGTCGTGGATGTTTATCTTCTCACAACCCACGCCCACCCACACCCACACCCTCACACCCACACCCTCTATGACTGCAACAGCCAAGAAATCGTGCACCAGTGAAGAAATCGCACCACCAGCCTATATTTGCTTGATCAGTAAAGTGTATTGTTGGATGATATGTAACTCGATTACTATGTGCGGATTGAGTAGGAATACGAATCAAATTTGGAATAATTTTACATCGGTGTACACTGTAAGTCACGTCACTGGTTAGATTGGTAGTTGAACAGTGCTCCTCAGCATAAGAATGTGCTCGTTTCAATTGAAAAACACCTATAAAAATATATAGTTGTGAGAAATTAAATAAATATTTATTACCGAAAGTGAGATCTCCTAGATCGTCTTGTGTCATAATAGGGAAACCATCTATGATTTCGGTATGATTAATTATCTCCCATAGAGAAAACCGCCTGATTAGAGTATTTTCTTCTAAGAGCTAAATAAGGACATGATACAAGTCGCAGAAAAACTTATGCTAAAAATAATTACGAGTTGAATTAAAATGTTTTTGTTGGCGTAATTGCATTATTTATACACCTATCTCATCATCTTCCAGTTTAGATCTTGTCATAGGTGGTTGATAATGATTGATGACAGCGCAAACAATTGACATGTCAGATTCTAAGTACACTAGGGACGAGTTTTTAATGGTATTTGTTAAGGATCCCTGTGCCTTCTTGATGTTAATAACGAATGAGTACCATAAAGATGGGACTACTTTATTATTGAAGAAAGAGGAGTATATATAGGGGGAATATGTGTCAGGGAATGTGTGTACAAATGTTGATGAGTCAAGGAATTAACATATGACTGTAACAGTATTTCCAAAGTCCTTAAATTATTTGAGACGACGGTTAGCGACTTCCACGACCCAACGTATTTTTGTTATGCACCTTGATTCCTTAGCTTCTTCGGCTGAAAATTGACGTCTGCCAGGATGTGGGTGTGAATGTTTACCTTCTCACAACCCACGCCCAACCCACACTCACACCCACACCTACATCCTCAAGTTAGGACAGAAGACCTTATACCTTTCGACCCCTAACATTTCTCAGATTCTTGTTCATTATCATCTTTTTTAACTATTTCATATAGACACTCACGAGCCTGAAACTTCAGATTAATAAAATCGGAGACATCGGGGCACAACATATTGCTGATGGATTAAAAGAGAAAAAATAAACAATATTCGTAGTTGATTTCTTCAGTAGGTGCCTGTGAGTGTGGGGTGTGGATATCGATGTGCGTGTCTATGTGGGCACAGATCTATTTCGTACGAACTCACAACAACACGTCCACACCCACACCCCAAATTCTTTCGATAGTGTCCTATGACATAATTGATCTAATATCATGATTCGATAATCTTACTCTTCACTCACAAACAATCGCGGGAACCTTCACTGATAGATGTGCTTCTTTCTCGCTCATAATCATATCGTTTGGTGACAAATGGTAAGTGAGTCATTTTGATTGATTATTGAGACCTTTTGTAAAAGACATCAACTACAGTACAAATTCTCTGGTTTCAATTGTTTCATTGGGCACCCTTTTTGATTTGTTCCGTTTTTCTATTATCTTGACGTATAGCAAGTGAGATCAAACTTGAGTTTTCAACACATTCTTACTACAGTTAGCAGCCTCTATGCGTAACATCTGAACTGCCTTCATAAAAAAACTAGTTCACTCAATGTCCATGATATGGGTGTGAACATAATCACGAAAGGAAGCCTTACATCCACCCACGCCTACCCAAAAAATCTTTCATGTTTCATTTGTTATTTTATTTGTAGATAATCAGAATTGTTCACTAACTACTTAAAAGCAATATTATTAATTTCGTTCGTTGAAAGTATTTCATCATGGTTTCGTAAGAAATCATCAATCAGGTTTTGATTTATAGACCAGGAATGATAGCTGGACCTAAGTATACTGGCTGTGCGCCAATGCCTTTAATAATCCATGTTGTACTATTCAGTATGATGCTAACATTGTTTGATTTAGTAATCGTTCCATTTGTACAAAGAGCATCTGTTCCTGTAGCAGGTTTTTGTTTGTTTATCGGTGATTGAACTACTCGAGGACCACCGTTCATCATACTAGTGCACGCATTTGCAGGGTACGTATTCCCTACAGTGTTATTAGCAATGATGGAATTTGAAAGTGTGATTGTTGTACTGCAAAAAGCAAATGCTGCACCGAATGCACCAGCATAATTATTGGCTATGGTTAGACCAGCAAATGAGCCTGATACAGGATTGGAACAGAAAACTGCACCACCAAGACTTGTATATGCCGTGTTGTTCAACAGATTAACATCATTCAACGTAACCGATTTATCGTTGCTCAAAAACATTGCACCGCCCCCATCTGCAGAATTATTTGCAATAGTACTATTGCGAATTGTAATAGTTCCTCCTTGAATATATAAGCCGCCTGCTAGGCTGCTCACAGTTTTTGAAACGTAATTACTATCTACCAGTACATTTTCGAAATCATTTTGTTCACTCCCGTTGTAGGATACGCGGAAGTAGGCGCCTCCGAATTTATTTGCTTGATTTCCGGTAAATCTTGTTCCACAAATTGTGACATTTCGTCCCAGTCCATCGACATATAATGCGCCACCGTTGCCACCATTTCCTGGATTTCCACCATTACCCGTAGCTTGATTCGTCGCAAAATAACTATTGGATATAGTCAATCCACTTCCAAGAATTCCAAGTCCTCCTCCATTCGAACATTGATTTCCAGTAAAAACACTTCCGTTAACAGTAGTAGTACCTCCGCCTATAGTTCGCACAGCACCACCTGCAACATCCTGACCAACTATAGAACCAGTGTTGTTCTGAAAACCACAACTATTGATAACCGTAGTTCCGCCGTTTGCCTGTTAAATGGCACATCCACCATTGGCATCTTGGCAATGACCATTAATAAATCGAAGACGTTGAACGGTCAATTTTGGAGTTGAAAGTTGAAAATTATTTCGATTAAAATTCAGTATGCAAGTTTTTCCTAAGCCATTCAATGTCACAATACCTGCTCCATCAATGATGGTATCGTTGACTGACGACACTTGTAAAGACACATTAATATTAATAGTTATGTTTTGTCCACTACCGCAATTAAATGTAATAATACCACCTTTGACAAGAGCAGCAGACAATGCACTTTGATTACATGAAGCAGGTGTACCAGTGCCAACAATGGTTGTTGGTTTCGAAGTATTCACTAAAGCAACCGAGGACGTGCACACATTTCGTGGTAGTGGCCAAGATACAGCTGCTGAAATCCCGATAGGTAACCATAGAATGGTGAACATCGACAAGAATGCATTTATCATTTTCGTCAAAAGCAAGAAACAAAGATATGCCTGTAAAAGAGGAACAAACACACATTTTCAATTGACTAAAACAAAGGTAAGTACACTCCAGAGTCTACTTATCAAACTTTCATAGTGAGATTAACAGGCATTTTGAAACCATGCGACCAATGACTGTCGATAAGGACGAACATTTCTTGGTGCTACTTCTCGCGACAATTATATTTAATCTCATACTATTATTAAGATGAAACTCTATGGTTACTCAAGAATAAGTATCATGTGAATAAATAGTGTTGTATCTTATAAATCCTTATGATTTAAAAAATTAATGAAGAATGAGTTGATGTCCTTTATACATCCTAAGCAGTGATCGAGATGAATTTTCTATTCGCCATTTAATCACGTACATTCGTAGTGGTTGTCATCTCGAACAAATTCACAGAATAGTTTAAAAATGAATACAAATCAGGTGTGAAAAAATTCTCGAAGAAATTCAATATCAAATAATGAGAAAAGCGTTGCTTTCATTATGAAGATTCAATCTTTAGAAGTAAGTAAACTAAAATTTAGCACGCAACTATGGAACGTCTATGAGGAGTTTATACAATATTCTGGAATAGCTAACTCAAGTTTGTATCAACTTGAAAATAAGCTCATCAATTTATTAAAATAAACTGTATGTCATATTTCAGTAAGACAGATGAATAGTCACAATTCGAACCGAAGTATAAAGAGGTGAGTTTTGATTCGAACAAACAAATAAGAGAGGAAAAAATTTCCTGTGTCAAAATCAGTGGTCACCGGTTTCATTTCTGGCCCGCCTTTTAGTACACAAAACTACTGAAACACATGCAAATCTTACCACAAACAAAGAGTCAGAGCATGGCAAACGTAATACTGTGCAAATGTCCACGAGTGGAATAAAAGCAAGCATTTGCAAAGAAATAAAAGATTAATCAGGCTCAAAGGAAGATTGTTTTAATCTATCTAGTGGGTGACACATTTCTAAGCCACCCTTCCACTTATTCCATCAGAAATAGAATCAGAAAATAGCTCCAACATTATCATAAGACGTTACTGATGTAGATTCTTGAATCGTATTTTAACAGCATCTCGCACAGCTGGTGGCAGAAATCCAAAGTGGCTGCTACGGTCCGTGATAGGGTCAGAGCTATATATATCACGTTCTGTGAGTCGCAGGAGTGTAGTTAACTATTCTCGTTTGATTCTTCAAAAGTCCAAGACATATTTAGCTAAGAAAAGTCGAGAGTTTTAGTGACGCTCTAAACAATAGCTGACCGTGGCTTTTTGTAATAAAATCGGCCTCCACTTACGAAATATTGCAGTCTGGTTGAAAGAAAAACTCATTTTCACTTCCAGGCTAGGTGCATATGTAGATCTGCAATCTCCTCCTTAAATATGATCCCGTATTTTAATTTTTGGTATTCCTATTAATGAAGAAATACGCTTCGATGGAAAACAAAAATATAACATAATCTGCTATATACTACGGAAAAAATCAGATTGTATTCTGTTTACTTGAACTTCATGCAATACAAAAACAGCTACAGTTTCCAAGGCGAGTTCGGGTTTAGTTTAAACCCAAAAGAAACTTGGTAAAATGGGCTGCGTTTCATATTTGAAACGCTAACATTCATTTGCATTGGTAGTCTTTGAGCTAACGAGGTAATCACACGACTTGATTAAGTGTATATATTCAATGACTTCTCAAAGCTCGGCAATAGCACAAACTCGAATCGAACCCAAGCTGTCTCATTTTTTTCCTTTCCAATGTTGGGCAACGACGAGAAAATGTCAACTAAGGATACGTCCTTCGTGAAACTATAATCGTACGAGGAAATCAGAGTAAAATGTTTTTCTTCTTTTTATATTCCCACTCTATCGAAGAACTTTATAAAAAAAAGAAACTACCGTGCGAAATGTGTAATTGTTGAATGCAAAAGATAGATGTCTAGAAAAGAAGAATAATCAAAAATACCAGTAAAGCGAATGAATAATGGCAGAATAAATACTTCTGAAAATTTGTTTAGTTGTATAGAGAGAAACGTTTTTCTCTCTTATTGGCTATTGACACTAAAGTAAATATATTTTTGTAAAGCAAACAAATTTCGATCGTCGCTGAAATTGCTTTTCATTGTTTAAGCTAATCGAGCATTTGAAGCCATGAATAGCTCGAAGGGTAATTAATACTTTGCTACTGAAAATGATTATTGATAGAACGCAAAATTACATTTCATCACGGTACTCCTGCTGTTTGTGTGTACTTGTACTGTAAAAGTACATTCTGTATTGTGTCATACTGCTGCAGTTCCATTGTTCGTAATCAAAATTGAAAAGAATCGGGTACATCGAAGAAATATGAAATTCGAATGCTGATTTCTATGCATCAACTCTTTCATTATTTGTACGATTCAATCATTTTGATGACGTCTCATACTGCCTACTGTTTATGGATCTCAAAGTTTAATAAATGACGTTTCCTTCTATTGCTTTGGAACAACACTAAGTGAATATTATTGTTGATGTGTAAGTTGGTGTTGCTCAAAGCTTCGAGTGAAATCGCACAAGCTTATCTCATTAGATGATTCTTTCTGAAATATCCTAGTGGATTGAATGCAGTCGCCGACTGATAAGAATTCCTTCTTTTCTATCATGAAAAAATGCTCGTTTTTTAGGTATCGGTCAGAATATATTCGTTTCTTAGAATCTCTTTTTCTATCCACAGTTCCAATTCACAAACGATGATATCTTATTTTTGAATATGCGGATTGAAAAATTTTAGCTTAAATATAAATATAAAACTATTTTCAAGACATGGGTGTGCCTGTGAGCTCATAGTTAGGAACTATGAAGCGTTTCGGCTTTGCTTAACGGTTTCGTGAGATCGTTTAGGTTTCGCATATTTGTTGAGAGGGACGTTGTCAATTCAATGTTTCGTTCTTTTGTATTTATAATGGCCTTTATATGTGTCGGGTTCGAAAATATCAGATTGAGGCCATTGGAAGTACCAATATGAGTAATGCCATTGCATTTGCGAGTTTTATTAAGAACAGTTAGAAATAAAGTTAATAGTTCATCGTGTTGAAGCTTGGCCAAGGGGTAACAAGCAGACTTCTGTACTGCTTGTACTTCTTCGTACTTCTTCGTATTTTCAGTACTTCTTGGTACTTTTACGTACTTCAAAAATGGATTCAATTTTTTTTCACTTTTACGTTATAGTAATGCTGGTGCGGTGAAATCCATTTTTAAGGGTTATTTTAAATAACACCTAAGAGTAAACCGATAATATAATGTCGTATAAAACAAAGTCGAAAATTAAAAAACAAAGGGAACACAGCAGATGAATAAACTAAAAGAAGTAGAAGTGTTTTACATTTCTTTGAGAAAAAAACAATTTGAATGTTCTTTTATAAAATCATCTGAGTTACATAAATCTCTAGTTGACAACATAATGACTATATAATAAAAAGCAACCATCCATAAGAAATACAAAAAAAAGATAAGTGCCTAAATATATAAAAATTTGTTTCAGTAAGAATTAAAAGCAGCAAATGCGTAGTAAAGATAACATCAATTCTGAAAAGAAATAAAAATACATATGTTTAAGTACGATTCCTTTTTATTTTTTTGTGATGATGATAATTGAGATGATGCATGACTACATTTACGAGAATTTGCTTGTGTATCTGTAGAAGGAATATTCGTAGCAGGTCGTACACCAGTTCCAACAGAAACAGGAATTTGTGAAGCAGGTTGTTGTTTTACTGGTGCTGATGTTTTTAATGTCGCAGATATCGATGAGGATAAAGCATGTATTGATTGTTGAAGGTTGATTTGTTGTTGTTCTCCATTCATTTTCTTTATCGCTCTTATATGACTACAATTTGTGGAGCGTAAATGTTTTTGATAATTAGGGAGCTGAATTTTACCATCTTTCATTGTTAATGCTATTGATTTATTACAGTTACAATTAACACTACCTTTAGGATCATTATTTTGACCATATAAAACATTTAAAATGAAATATTTTCTTTCGTTGCAATTAAATGAGTCTGATAGAAAGTCATCCTTTTGATTCGAACACCATATTTTCAATAAATTCAAGAAGTATCCTCGATGTTCAACAATCAGTATCAATACTATGCCAGGATTTGATGAAGCTGCTGTTTGAGGTGCTGATGTAACTGTTGTTATTGGTGGTGTCAAAGATGGTGATAACGATGACATAATGCTAACTGGAGCAGCAGTTGTTGATTGAGTTTTTGTGCTTTTTAGTTGTTTTAATCTTTCTTCAGTTTTCTTTAATAATAAATCCCTGAAACATATGAAACCTGTTTTGAAACCAGGCTTAACAATGAATGAACCATCTGATAATGGAGGGTGTGGGTGTGGCGTGCGACTGGATGTTTAAATATAGGTGGATGAGATTTAGCTGTACATGTTATACGTAATAATGTATTTGATGGTGAAGAAGGACAACATGCTAATGGTCTTTTACGTGAATGCTATTCAATAATAGCACGCTCAATGTTTGATCCGAATTTTGCTTTATTTATGATCAATCCAGGTGATCGTGTTACTTATATGCCTAATCCATTATCACATTGTAATGCAAATTATTCTCAATATTTTTTTATTTATTGGTTGTTATATCTCTTATCTTTCGAATGACGACAGAACGGAGCAAAAGATATCCCCCTTCGCATGGAATCGAACCATGCACCTCCTGCTTACCGGGCAGACGTATTAACCATTTTACTAGAAAGGGTATCTCTCTCCGTCTTACGATTGTATGGGAACAATACGATCGTAACATTGGTCATATTATAGCTAAAGCTATATTTGATAATAAATATATGGATTGCTATTTTACACGATCCTTTTATAAACATATATTAGGTGTACCTGTACGTTATATGGATATGGAATCTGTTGATTCACAATTTTATAAAAGTTTAGTTATGTTATTAGAAAATGACATACATGAATGGGATTTAGGCTTAATATTTTCATTAGATGCATTTGAATTTGGTGAAAATAAAGTTATTGAATTAATACCCAATGGTTCAACTACTATAGTTACAAATGACGAATAAACATGAGTATGTTAGACTTGTTGGTCAAGAAAAATGATTGGATCTATTAAACAACAAATTAGTTCATTTTTAGAAGGTTTTTATACGATCATACCGAATAATTTAATATTTATTTTTAATGAACAAGAAATTGAATGGTTAATATCAGGTTTACCCGATATTGATATTGAAGATATTAAAGCAAATACAGAATATCATAAATATAGACCGAACTAGGGTGTGGGTTCGGGTGTGAATGCTTACGCATATGAGTCCATGAGAACAGAAGCAACTACACCCATACCCTATTGGCTACAACCTAAGAAACAAGAAGAGGAACATGCTTGTGCGCGCGTTCAAATTCGGTATCTACAATGCTACAGTACAGAACTGCATCATCCCTTTATCTACCATCTATATTTGCATGATAAATGCATTGAATAGAGATATTTTGTTCTTTATTTTAATAAAATTTAAAAACAAAATCGATTATCTCATACACATTAACGAAAAAAGGGTAGAAGTGGAGGTGATCATTGAAAGTAGAGAGATTGGTGCATTCAAATCGAAACCCACACCCATATACGTAAGTTTAGTCTAAAGATATATTGACTGCATCATGATTACAAGAATGTCTGGTTGAATCTACATTACGACAGCAACTACAAGAATATCAAGACCGCTATCCTATTAGAAAAACGTTTTCTAAAGATGCTTTTTTCGTTCCTGGGTGACTTGTTCTTTTGTATAAGAACGACTTTCGTAATAAAGCGTTTCTAAGATACTAGGACGCTATTTTCGTCGAAAAAAACGCATTCTTGGTTGCTCTTTTGTCGCACGGGTAAGCTTTGACTCACTCCACATTCTACGCCCATCCCATACCGTCAAGATAGTCTCTTTTAAACCATTTATGGATATTTAACTCATTGCTTTCATTTTATTTGAGTAGATTGTCTTCAATGACACAGTTAGATTTAGATATTTTTATTTTCTAATGGTTAGCAATTGAATGGATAAAGATAAGCAAGACAAATGTTTTAATTTAAAAATAAGCAACATTTTCATAAGGATTATCAAGAAGTTTGCCATGCACATCAACTTGTTCTGGTTTACCATGTGTACTAACATCCCATGGAATATGATAAACACGAACAGTTGCATATTTTTTATAGGGTAATTCGACCTACTAGTAATTTATAATGTATAAGAATAAAAAGGAAAATTATTGAATACCTTGAAAAAATAATTAATTCCGGCAACCGTTTGTGTAGCAACTAGAACTGGTTGAAGATGATGATAATTGGATAGATTAAATTGAGCTTGTATTTTCTTTTTCAAATGTTGTTCATACTACACATCGAAATAGAATATGTTTCTTTTAATATAAATTATTCTGTAATATTTACCATGTTCCAAATATTTAAGTCTTCTTCATTAAGTGGTCTAAGAGCACCAGTACCACCAAGTGGTAGCGCTCTACAATGTATTATATATACCATGAGTTTAATTTTAATTTTAATAAATAAACTTACACAGGTGGGGGTTGCCAAAATGCTCCACTATAATATGGATATGCCATGTTCTGAAATTCTATTGAAAAGAAAAATAATAATATCAGACTTCATAAACAGTTGGTTTATTTTGACTTGCTGACATGAAAAACTATATGTAGTTATGTCGTAAAAGAAAATGGATTAACGAAAAAAGACTCACCTATATGCGACGGTCGATAAATAACGGCATGAATTTTTTGCAAGCAACTACATGATTCGTAGGGGTCGAATACACTACAGAAGTAGTTAACTCAATTCTGTCCTAAATTTGTTTTAATTCAACATTCGTTCATTTTTAGCAGTTAATTCGTCAATGAAAGTGCACGTAACACCTATTAGATTACAGATACTGTAATGTGAAAACTTAATTCATTGAAAGATACTGTTCTCGTGTGTGCATGATTTTTAATAAGGCTGCTAAATGTGTTTCCGGAATTGTAACCTTAATCAGAGGAACTCGTACTAGGATTTAATCTAATCAATTTCAATGAAAGCTAGTGAAATTCTTTACAACAGTAGTTGTGGAAGCCTCTTACGAAAACTATCTGAAATCGAAAGCAATCATTTTAAATTAACAAATTCCTTCATAGTCTAACCTTTTTTTTAGTGAGAAGCAATGCTAATGTTGCCTTTCACTATTTTATTGTCTCCTTTTTTTTTACACATAACACGGCTTTTAATATGACACACACATTAGGAGTAACGAACCGAGGAGCGAAAGAGAGGAAGAAAAGAATAGAGATAAATTACAAATATGTGATAGTGTTGTAATATAATGTGATGTTAGTAATCAACTATTATGAAACAATCATGGGTAGAGCATAATATAAAAAATTACGGTTGAATAAGAATTACAAGATCGAACAGCTATAGTTATTCGGTCATCATGTGAAATCAGATAATGATATACATTAACCGCTATTGAGTGTCACACACAACACAGTAGAGTAATTCTAAATGAAATGAACAAAGATTCTCAAGAAAACAATGCAATGATCATTGTTCACAATTTTTAATCTTTCAATTTATTCGAGTCGCCACAAGCGTTTTTCATTAGCGAACAGATGCACTATTCTATTAGTGTATTATCGTTAAGTGGCTTCAAAAAGACAATTTTTGAACATCTCCTAGGTGGATTAATCGAATAATGTATCATATCCTATCGAAACCTCTTACGATCCTACCATTCTACATTTCCTGATAGGATTCAGAGTTCAGAACAGGGATCGTCAAAGAGTAGGGCAAAGTTTTTTTCCCTGATAATTGTTCTGAGTCATTAATTTAGAGAAAGTTTTTGTTTAATAATGCCGATTTCATATGACGAGGCATTGTAGTAGATATCATACTATACTGACCAATATTAGTTTTACGATTATATCTGAAAATCATAGTGTCTATCATCATTGGATTAGATATTGTATGATTTTTTTCTATTTAAAATAGTGAAAGATATATGTATATGTCGCAGGACGGTTTGAAATTCAGTTCAGGTTAAAATCATTTTGAAATAATTTTAATCTCAACTAGGATGATTTCAAACTGCACTAGCTCAAATCAAACGGTTTTAATCTGTCATGTGACATATATATTCCTTAAATAATTACAAGAAAAAGTATCATTAAAAGAAGGCCAGCGTGCATTTTTGAATGATCTAGAATCGTCCTTGATAATAAGCTATTTTTAAAATTTTTGGTTTAGCTTTTGAATGCACATTTCTGCAAATAATTTTTGACATGTAACTCCGCTAGCACGATATTTTTCACATAATTCTTAAGTATTTATCAATGACCAATTTTCTCTTATCTTTCAATTGTATCTTGCAATTTTGTTGTTTTCATCGTCATTTTAATATGAACGAGTTCGCCTCCAAATCGATTAAACTTGCTCTTTTCTTTGAAAGCTCTCGATATTCCCTTATAGAGAAAGAATCTTCGAAGGCTGATTAGCCGTGTCTTAAAGTCATCTATATTAATTGTCATATTTTCTCGAGAGTACACAAATAAAGCGCGAATACCCGATATCAAAATTTACAAAGGTTTTATCAAAATCGTAGAGCTTTATATACAAGTTCAATACATAGCTTGTATTTTGTCCTGCCCTGCCAGGGCAGTACACGGCAGGGCAGAAAAAATGCCTTATAACAGTCTCTGGTTCAGAATTCAGCGTCAGTTCTTAGGGTCGGATTCCTATGATTTTCCCACAATATTCAATAGCCAGAGCCAACGATGGTGTGGGTGCGGGTGTGAGGGTTTGGGTGTGAAATTTTCTTATTACACCCATATCCACACACACACCCTAAGTATTTTGTTTAATGACTAGCAATTTTATTTTGATAGTGGATGCTATATCTTATGTTGCTTATCAATTGTGATTTCATGTAATAAGTCATTTCAAATTTGATTAAAAACCCAGAAAATACCTCAATTTTTCAAGTAATAACAAATTTATCTCTTTAGAGCATGGGTGTGGGTCTCTGAATCGGGGTTTTTCGTCCTTCATCAACACACCCACACCCATAACCCTGATATTCTTGTGGAAATATTATTTCTTTTTAGGAAGTAACTAGACGTCAGAAGGAAAGAAAAAAACATTCATTTCAAAGAATTAGTTTTGATAGAATATGACTATGGTTGCTGACATGGTTCCCGATTACTTTTGGAAGTAAGGGGGGCTAAATGTTGGCAGAAACTATATTTCTTTTGGCAGGCAGTATACATCAAAAAGAACAATTGGTGAAGGTTCAAGTTCAATATCATTTATTGGTGTATCAAGATGTGTATTTTGAGAATCAATTTCCATCAATTGAGACTGATTAAGGCCTCCTCAGGAAACCCGATTTTTCGAATTGAATCCGAAGTCGAGTTTTTATCATAGAAAAATTCCCCATAGTCTCATCTTTCTGAATATATATAGTTTTTTGAAAAGCAATTAAGTTTTAACAGATTTATTCAGGAAAAACTCTCCTATCTCCCCTACTATCACACACCTTTCTAAAACCTGCTAAGGGTTTTTCTCAAAGGATGGTTTTCAGGTACGAAAATTGAAATAACTCTCGCTTGATTCGGGATATCCCCGATATTTTTTTATTATTTTAAAAGTCTCGACAATAGCTAACTTTTTATCGGAAGGATTTCTGATACTAGGTTCCTGGAGTAAGAACAGTCCGATTTACTGTATCTTTTATACCTAATTTGACAGTCATATCGAATAAAATGCCTATAGAAAATTAATAGAAGCAAATTTCAAAATTCTGTCCGATGAAAACTTGTATATGGAGACTAGCGTTAATTTAAAACAGGCCTGACCTCGATAGCTCTCATAGCCATGAAGTTATTTTGATTCTCGTAGAAGCAATAAAACAAGTCATAAGTCTAGGTTGGTAAGGCATACATGGCTGAAATTTTTACCGCAAGCGTTTCTCACTAGGACCATTAACTTCTGAAAGTTTCAGTCCAAACTTATACTCCAAAGTGGCAAGTCGATTCTGATGGCGGGAGAGGGGGAGCTTAATCTGATTATCAACATCAGCTGCTTGTATGTTCTCATTGATAATCGTAGATTTTACTAATGCAAACTTTTTCATGGAAAATAATGTATTTATTGGCATTGAATTTTGTTTTTCACTGTTTATTGTTGCATGTAATGTTACTATACTTGGTTTTGCCTGTTCTATATCTCTTTTCAACTCATAATATTTGCAACCAATTGCTGTTTGTGACATGGCACGAAATTGCCGACAATGATCTTTCGAGGTTTTTAGAAGCATTGATTTTCCAAAAATAGTACACTTTATTGTAAGGTGCACCAAAGTCAAAAATCAAGCAGGAGAAAAATCTCATTTATTATTACATGGTTGGATAGAGCTCAATGAGTAGACCATGAATATCACCTTTAAAATGTTTCTAAGTTTCCGTTTTCGTCGATAAATTTTCGAAGGGTGTGGGTGTGGGTGTCTTATATCTACCATAGTCCCACACCCACACCCACACCCTCAAATGCAAGGCGATATATCCAATATGAGTAGGGTATGTAGCATACGATGAGTAATGATATTGTTTTTTCAAGGTTGATTTTTAATCGATAAAAAAGAATATTTGAATCAAAAGCGGCATGCATGAAAGATTTTTTCTATATTTTCTCATAGATATTAATTAACGGTGATAAAAAAGCAGTGGGAGGTGTGTCATATATAAAGACTAGCTTTTTACATACTCATGTGTGTATTATCATACTAGATTCACTCTCTTCTGCATAATTTATTTAACAATGTTCGGCGGCCATCACCATCATCATCATCATGGTAACTAAATTTATAAAGATTTCCTGGCATTAACTTATGACTGATTTCTTGTAGGACATCACGGAGGCATGGGTATGCCGGGTATGGGCATGCCAGGCATGGGTATGCAGGGTATGGGCATGCCAGGCATGGGTATGCAGGGTATGGGCATGCCAGGCATGGGTATGCAGGGTATGGGCATGCCAGGCATGGGTATGCAGGGTATGGGCATGCCAGGCATGGGTATGCCAGGCATGGGCATGCAAGGTTTTGGAGGTGGTTATGGATATTCATATTAAAATGGCATTGGAAGATAATATTACTTATGGCTTCCAATAAAAAATATGTGTTAGCTAGAAAAATTCCAATAATAATGAGTTTAAAAAACCGATGTCTTGTAAAACTTATGATTCAACTAATAAAAACGATGAATTATGAATGTCGGCGTTGTTTTACAGTTTTTAGTGAATTGCATAGGAGATTTTGTTGTTTGAAAAGAGAAAAAACGCTACTCGAGTTCATAGCTAACCTTTTAAAAATAGCACGATATTTATTTGCACTGAATATATGATAAACTATAATCTGATGTTGGCTGCTATGCTGTTCAAGAAAATCATAAATTGAAGAATCACTGCAATTATGTCTCCTGTAGAAGTTTTATAAGTGCTTTTTGTTTGTCGAAAAGATCGATTCTAATTTGAAAACAAATTGATGAAACCATTACTCAGTCAGACAAGCAACAAAAAATAACGCGTAAAAGCGAATAAAAATCGCACATTTTTGTTCGCTTTTACGCGTTATTTTTTGTTGCTTGTCTGACTGGGTAGTGGATCATTTGCAATAAAAATAATCGTTCAAATGAGTCATACTTCTTGCATAAAAAACATGAATAACTATCTAAAATATAAAAATATGATGTAAATTTGATCGTATCTAATTTGATATATGTATGCATGCGTCATATGAATATACACATACAGGTGCGTGCAAAGACATGGCAAACGAATAGTCATTTTTGAGCCTTGTCATTATTCCAAGATTCTAGAATTTTCGTAGAATTCTGAAATCATTCAAATTAATTAGAAACTTGGTGTGGGTGTGGGCATTCTGTTTACTTTGTTGATTTATTAAGAAACGTTACATTAATTTATCTATTGATAGAACATGTTTCTATTTTCGTTGAATTTACAATAAAAGTTTTATTGACCACGAAGAATATTCTTTTTCATTTTTTTTTGGCAATGCTTCGTTGTGTTTTCTATTTATACCCAAAGAAACAAACCATATCGAAACAACAAAAGTATCATTTTATTATTGATTGAAAATAATTCAAAAACTAAAGATCAGGTTATCTTATTCGATCAGCTTTTTGATATTCATTTTTTTCGAATCCCAAACTAATAGATAATGACCAACAAGTTGTCACTTATGCTCTAAAGGGAAACAAATACAAAAAGAAACAGAAAATATTTTCTTCAACATAATAATAAACTAACAAGGGAACGTTCCCAGGTGAAGGAAAGCTTTTCAGCTGGGGTTATATATTTATAGACCCTTACCGTCTCCGGTGTAGGGTGAGAAACATAATACAATGAACAAACACATAATTATATTAACAAACTGGTTAAAAAAAAGGGAGACAAGGGAAGGGAAAAAAAATAGTATTTTGTCTTTGTACGACGAGAGCCACGTAGATCGCCATTAGCATTGAGCTGAGACATCCATCAGTCTATTACCCTCTGATGTCATCAGTTTAGATAATATCCATCATACCATTCAAAGTTCGACACGAATGGGTGCTATACAACCAACTTTGCCATATTGTTAATTGATATTGTTATTCTTGCGCCATGTCTTCGCTTTTTCACACGATTTTATATGGTTTGTGATACCTTGCGGCTTGAAGTTCTTCCTGCATCCTGGGCACTTGTATTGATTGTTTTCCTTGACCAGTATTTCTGTAACTTTTCGTTTGATTACGCCTGTTGATGTAGCTCGCTCAACTTTTCTTCTTTGAGCTGCACGCTGTTTATAGTCATGAACAATGCTTTTAACATTTTTGTTTACTG